AAATATTTCTATAATTGTTTTCACCACGTTGCAAGTACAGCTGGGTTCTTATTAAGACTTATCAAGGTTCTCTCTACCTTCTAATGCTTCCAGAAAAGACATTTGACAGTATCTCTATGTTCTTTCGCTGTTAGAATGCTCATAAATTTGTCCCATGTGCAAACTGCCATTTTGTTTACCGTGACCACACCACTTACATAACGTGGGCGGGTGGTTGCTAAGGCTTGTTATTTGTCCAATACAACATGTATAGAAGAAATGTGAGTGTTGACATACAATCAAATATATATATCGTACGTGGGTAAAATCAGTTATAGGACAACCTGGGGGCTACGCCACCCGGTTGTAAAAATGAGTGTTTGTGTTTATGTTGATGTCTCACGCACATACTGGTTCCACAACTTTGTTTTCAAAGAAGGGGATCCACTGTTTTTTATGTCTTAGTGTTACAAACGAGTTCCTCTCCTTTAGGCGATCCTTAGTTTCAATATTTGGCATTCAAACTAGTTGCACTCCTGTTTCAGCGGATCAATAGTCTCTTTGTTGTCAACAAACTGGTTCCTCTCCTGTTAAAAGTGGATCAATAGTGTGTACGTTACACAAACTCATTTTTGTTCTCCATTTCATGATTGCATAGACAAGTTCTTCTACTATGACAAATTGACCACAATTACCTCATTATTTGTGTTGCAGGTGGTTCTAGAGATTTGTGAGAAAGAGAGTCTCCGCGTCTGATTCTGTCACCAGCTAGCTCTGTGAAGTCTAAATGTCTGACCGTGATCCGTTTCGACGAACTCTGGGGCTGAGCGATGAATCCAACAGTTGCTCCTTTTGTTAGCGCAGCTGAATGAATGGCTGAATCGCAAAGAGTTAACAAATTGTATAAAATCTTTCTTTTACAACCAATAGATCAAAGATGGATGAAATGTAATGGAAAAAAATGAATTTACAAAAGTGGAAGTATTTATACACAGTTGTGACATCATAATCATAATAATAGTAAATTAACTCTGATTCACAATACCAATACCTCACACACTCCCCACCTGTTGGACA